TATGTATGTATGTATGTATGTATGTATGTATGTATGTATGTATGTATTTATTTACTTTAATTTATTGAATTTTACTATTCAATTTTATTTCTATAGCACCACATTACAACAGCAGGTGTCTCCCCCTGAGCTGGATTTAATAAAATTGTATTTCTTTATTTTTATTTTATCATTTATTAATTATCATTATTTAATTGTTATTTATTATTATTTATTGTTATTTATTATTATTTTATTTTATTATTCAATTTTTTTATATAGCGCCACATCACAACAGCAGGTATCTCCCTCTGAGCTGGATTCAGATCAATTTTATTTTGTTTCTTTATTTTTTATTTTATTATATTATTTATTTATTATTATAATGTAATTATTATTTATTATTATTTAATTATTATTTATTATTATTTAATTATTTTATTATTCAATTTTATTTCTATAGCGCCACATCACAACTACAGGTATCTCCTAGCTTTCCAAACAGAGCAGCTCAGACTCTGAGTCATTTACAGAGGAACGACAATTCCTACCATGAGCAAGCACTAGGAGACACAGGGAGGGAAAAACTGCCTTTTAACAGGCAGAAACCTGGAGCAGAACAGTCTACACAGTAGCACATAGACTGGATAAAAAATGGTAAAGATATTGATAGTAATGATAATGATAGCAGGAATAACAGCAATAAGACTGTGAACAGTGGCTGTAATTGTAACAGTAGGAATACGGGGGGTCAGCAGGAGTCTCCAAACCACAGATCCAGACCCCCCAGCTCCATAAAAACCTGGAGGAGGTGATGAAGGAGAGAGGAGAGGGAGGAGAAAGAACACGACTAGGGGAAAGGGAGAGAGTCCAGTTAGTGACATCATTAATGGGATGAGGCTGCACTGGGAGGGAGTGACAGAAGAAGAAGGGAGAAGAGGTGCATCATGGGAAATCCCCCCCAGCCTGGGCCTATAGAGGGAGGAGAGGTGCATCATGGGAAATCCCCCTCAGCCTGGGCCTGTAGCAGCATAACTAACTATCAATCAATCAATCAATGTTTAGTTATATAGCACTTTACAACAACCGGAGCTGACCAAAGTGCTTTACAGTAATAAAAACAGATCAAACTATCGAAATATCGAAATATACAAAGACAAACACATCGGTGACAGAACCCAGTATACAGAGATTTTACGTGCTAAAAGCCATCCTGAACAAATGCGTTTTAGGTTGAGCTTTGAACAGTGGCAGCTCAGTAAATTGACTGGATTAATTAACTGTGAGCTCGATCTAAACTCTGGTCTGCCCACAGGTGTGCTCTCGGAGGAGCAAATCCGGCTGAAGAAGATGAAGAAGCAGGAGGAGGAAACGGCCCGCACCTCCACCGTGGTCACCCCCACCCCCCCGCAGGAGGCCGCGACCCTTGACCCCCAGCAGCAGGAGATGATCGAGAAGCTGGTGGCCATGCAGAAGCAGTGCAACAAGAGGTCCTTCCTGGACCGGCCCAAAGTCACGGTGGGTGGAGATGTTCTCTTTGGTCCCTTTGTCTGGGACAGAGATGTTCAGTAACCAAGTATAGCTACTTAAGTACAGTACTTAAGTACCAAAATGCAGTATCTATACTTTATTGGAGTATATATTTTTTTTCCCTACTTTTACTTTTACTCCACTACATATTTTTCATTAATTTTACTTTGATCGATTTTTCACGGGCTGAATCGTTACTCATTACTGATATGTAAACGTAATGATAGATAGCTCTGTCAGGGTTTGGGAAGCTGGCCCCTCATTGGCTGATTTGAGCCATCAACCATAGCCTATAAAAAAAAACCCCCAAAAAGATTAAAAAAATTCCCACTCTAATCTACAGAAGCATATCAAGGTAAGTTAAAAAATACAATGACATATAAGCTAGTAAATAAGCGCTAGTTCAGTTCTCGCTGTTCACTCAGGACGTAGCAGCTAACGTTAGCTAAAGCTAACCTAGCTGGCTAGCTGTATGATAATGTTAGCTAAAGCTAACCTAGCTGGCTAGCTGTATGATAACGTTAGCTAAAGCTAACCTAGCTGGCTAGCTGTATGCTACATGCTAGCATAAAGGCTCAGCTCAGGATTCTGACTCTGGAATAATAAATAATAGCAGATGAAGTGCTGTTGATGCTAATGCAGATGTAGTTTTCTGTTTTTGTAAACACCTGTATGGCCTTTCACACGTTTGAAATAATATAAACAACATTTGTCACACTTTTGACTGCCTTTTCTTAATATACACAGTACTTGTACTTATACTTGTACTTTAGATACTTCAGTAGCAATTTTTTAATACTTCTACTAGAAATACAAAAAAACTAAGTACTTCCGTACTTCCACTTAGGTATGGAGTTGAAAGAATACTTCTACTTTTAGTCAAGTCAATTTTTTTATATAGTACTTGTACTACTCCACTCCTCTACTCCAGAACTTCATACATCTCTTTCATACATTTGATAGATAGATAGAATGTATGAAAAGTATGAAAAGTCTTGTGTAAAACGTCCTTTAAAAGTTCCCCGGTGTTCCAGTAGTTAGAATCTGCTGAGTGTTGGTGAGAAGGGTTAATTTGCTGGAAAATAGTTTCCATTTCTCCTTCCAAAAACAACAAATCCCCCTGCTGTGGTGGGGGAAAACCTACCTAACCTACTTGCAATACTTAAGTACAAAAAAAATTGAGTACTTCCGTACTTTCACTTAAGTATGGAGTTAAAAGAACACTTCAACTTTTACCCAAGTCAATTCTTTTATACAGTACTTGTACTTCTGCTCCAGTACTTTGCGTCTTTACACCTCTCTGATTTTCATACAGTTGATAATGATAGTACGTATGAAAAGTCTCGATGTAGATGTAGTTTTCTGTTTTTGTAAACACCTGTATGGCCTTTCACACGTTTGAAATAATATAAACAACATCTATCACACTTTTGACTGCCTTTTTTTAATATACACATGAAAAGTCTCGTGTAAAACGTCCTTTAAAAGTTACCCGGTGTTCCAGTAGTTAGAATCTGCTGAGTGTTGGTGACAAGGGTTAATTTGCTGGAATTTGCTTCTATTCCAGTACTTTTTTATTATTTTGTCAGAAATAATACAGTGTGTTACGAATGTACATGTGTATTTTTACACTTTTAAACATAAAAAACAAACACAAACAACAGTGTGATTTCAAGAGTATGAAAGGTAAAAGTTCCAGTCTTTGAGAGTTGGAAAAAAAAAAAAAAGATGATACAAACAAAAAAAACATCATGCATAATCATCATGCATAATTAGTGGAACGACAGGTCTCCAACCTTTAGTGAATATGGGTATTTGTAGTCTCAGAGAATATGTTATTTATTCCATTTGGTATATATCCCATATCTGATTTTCATACAGTTGATAATGATAGAATGTATGAAAAGTCTTGTGTTTCTGTTGTGTTTTTGCAGCCGTGGCCGCAGAGCCAGGACCCGCAGAACCGGGAGGTGCGGCAGCAGCGCTTCGCCCACTTCACCGAGCTCGCCATCATGTCGGTTCAGGAGATCGTGGACTTTGCTAAACAGCTCCCGGGTTTCCTGGAGCTCACCAGAGAGGATCAGATCGCCCTGCTAAAAACGTCTACCATCGAGGTTTGAGGTTAACTCATTGACTGGCAGCCATTTTCAGAACAGAGAGTCCCATAGTGCCAGAGTTTTTTGAGCATTTTGACTGATTCTTCAAGAGCCACAGAATAGTTTGTGCTATGACTATGTAAACACCGAACACACCAAAAGAAAGAGTAGACTCTCTTCTTTCATCAGGAAAAAAAAAGTGTTTCTACCTTATTCCGTTCTTCCTGGACTTGCGTCTCACCGGCGACATTTTCTTTCATAGCGAACCGTTCCCTTTTTCTTATTTGCCTACAGTCTATGCTCATCTCCCATCAAAAGTGGCACTGCCCCCTAGAGGGTCAATTTGTTACTACATACTCTGTCTAGAAGCCGATATTTACGGACAAGCTTTAGCAGATCGTCCCCCAGACACTCTCGTTAAAAACATAAAAGACCTCTATAGACGTCTTTGGCAGCCAATGAGTTGATAGTGAGAATTCTCACTATTAGTGCTCACTATTGTTTTCCTGTTTCTCTTTTTCTGCGTCTAACTAGGCCCACAGATTTAAGCCTATTTCAACAAATAATCAATCAATCATTCAGTCAAGTTTATTTGTATTGCCCTTTATAATAGCCGAAAGGTACCCAAAGTGCATTACAAAAGCCATAAAACAATACATAACACATACAAAACATACAGATACAATTAAAAGTGATGTAGAAAAATCCTTCCAGAAATGCACAGAAAGGAGCAGAAAGAAGGAGGACACCTAAGAGACGGTATTACTCTAGTCAGAATTAAATGCTAATTTAAAAAAGTGGGTCTGTAACAGAAGAAGAAGTAAGGTATCAAAATGTTCAGCTCCTTAAGCTCTATGCAGCTTCGACTTTAGGTGTTCAAATCTTTTCAACTTTTGAAGGTATTTAGCTTTTTCTGCTTTTATTTTCTCTCATTGAAATGAATGGAGTCAAAAACATGGCTCAATCTGCAGGTCACTGGCATTTAAGCCCCTTTAAATTCTTCATATGTGGTCCTATAAAGCCTCTCTGTCTGGGGTATAGCTCAGTGGTGGAGTGTTTGACCCCAGTTTGAGAAGTTGCTGGTTCAAGTCCCATTAGAGTCTTCCACTCTTTAGGTCTTCTAATCCTTTTGCCTTTCTTCTTCAACTCCTCAGTTCTATGTCTTTTTCAGCTTTTCTTTGGCTTCTTCTCCTTCTTCCTCCATTCAGCACTTGGCATTCTCACAACTGTTCTGCAGGTTCTGCATATTCTAGTTATCATTGGGCTTTTTGCTAGAGATGTCAAAGATATTGATACTAAAACGTTTTATCCAGATACCATACTCATTTTCAAAAGTATTGATACCCCCCCATCTCTCTATTTATTTACGTTGTTTATGGTCATTATCGTGACGTTAGCCTTGAATTGCTAGCTGCAGCTAATGGCTAATAATAACATCAGTAATCTAAGACAATAACCTGTCAAAATTCTGTTAAATTTTGGGGTCTTTGTTTTTATCCTTGTAGTATCGAAAATAGTATCGAGTATTGAATATTTTCCTGAGTATCGGCAGTTTTTTGCAAATATCGGCGGCAGATCCGATCCAGATATCGTTATATAGTTGCAGTGACCTCTTGGCTTCTCAGACACTTAGACTTAGACAGAACTTTATTGATCCCTTGGGAAGGCTCCCTCAGGAAATTAAGGTTACCAGCAGCTTAAAGGGCAAACAGTGTCAAGTTAGAATCAGTTTAAGCAAAAATATACAAATAAATAAATAAAAATCTAAAAAATACAGATTAAGTACAGTGAATGTGTATGTGATCTCTCTTCCCCCTGTCCTGGTTCACCTCCTCGCCCCCAGTGAGGCGTTTACAGTCTGATGGCGTGGGGGACAAAAGAGTTCTTAAGTCTATTGGTCCGGCACTTGGGAAGCAGCAGTCTGTCACTGAACAGCTCCTCTGGCTGCTGATGACGGTGTGCAGAGGGTGGCTGCTGTCGGCCATGATGTCCATTAGTTTGTTCAGTGTCTGATCAGAATCAGAAATACTTTGATGGCTTCCCATCGACGTCTGACAGACACACGCAGAGTCAGTCGTTAATACTCTGACAACTTTTCCCACTTCGGCTCCGTTTCAGTGTTGTTTTTTCCTCTCCAGATTATGCTCCTGGAGACGTCCCGGCGGTACAACCCCACCATCGACAGCATCACGTTCCTGAAGGATTTCAGCTACAACAAGGAGGATTTCGCCAAAGCAGGTGAAGCCTGCTCTTTTAAAAAAAAAAAAGCCTCTCCTCAGCCTGATTTGTGGAAACTGTCCACAGTGACATGACTTCTGGCCAACTATTTTTTTTTTTAACACATTTTTTTATTATTTTTTCAGAAATGATACAGTGTGTTACGAATGTACATGTGTATTTTTACACTTTTAAACATAAAAAACAAACACAAACAACAGGGTGATTTCAAGAGTATGAAAGGTAAAAGTTCCAGTCTTTGAGAGTTGGAAAAGAAAACGAAAAAAAAGATGATACAATAAAAAAAAAAATTATTGCATAATTAGTGGAACTAGTGGAATTAGTGAATATGGGTATTTGTAGTCTCAGAGAATATGTTATCTGTTCCATTTGGTATATATCCCAGACCTTCTGAATGCATATATTGTAGGAAGGAAATTTGATTGTTATACATTTTAGAGCCGCTGTTAATAATATATTCAAAAGATATTTTTTTCCTCTCGTGTAATAATTTTTGTAGGTGTTACTCCCAATAAGGCAATGTCGATATTGAATGGGATTTCCTGTTTGAAGATTACTTTTAGGGCATCAAAAAGTCTTTCCAAAACAGATTTAATTTAGGGCATTGCCAAAATATGTGTTTGTGATTAGCATTATTATTCCACATTTTCTCCAACATAATCCTGAGTACATCGGTCCCATTTTAGCCGATATAGCTGCTGTTCTAAAGAATCTAGTTACAACTTTTCATTTGAAATGTCGCCAAGTGTTTGAATTTGTGACAAGGTGTGACTCCTTACATATTTCTTCCCAAATATATCATACAATTTGCCAATATTTTTTTTTGTCTTCATTGACCACTAGTTTAAAGATGTCCCTCTTTAACTGTGTTTTCTTTTCCACCTCTCTCCTTCCCTCAGGGCTTCAGTTTGAGTTCATAAACCCCATCTTTGAGTTTTCCAAAGGAATGAACGACCTGCATCTTGACGAGGCTGAATACGCTCTGCTCATTGCTATCAACATCTTTTCTGCAGGTCAGCCTCAAAACGTGCCGTTTCACTGAATAAAACATCCCATCTCAGAGGAAGAAATTTATTTTATTTATTTATTTGTTTATTTGACAGGGACAGTACAATTAAACATTGCAACCAAACAGGTGGCCGATGTCCAAGTGCATAAGGCTTGTAGCCATGGGCTAATTTGCAGCACCTTCGTCCCTGGTTACGCTTTTAACTCATTGACTGCCAGCCATTTTCAGAACAGAGTCCCATACTGCCAGAGTTTTTCGAGCACTTTGACTGATTTTTCAAGAGCCACAGAATAGTTTGTGCTATGACTATGTAAACACCGAACACACCAAAAGAAAGAGTAGACTCTCTTCTTTCAGCAGGAAAAAAAAAATGTTTCTACCTTATTCCGTTCTTCTTCGACGTGCGTCTCACCGGCGACATGTTCTCTCATAGAACCGTTCCCTTTTTCTTATTTGCCTACAGTCTATGCTCATCTCCCATCAAAAGTGGGAAGTATGTACTAACGTTGTTACTACATACTCTGTCTGGAAGCCGATATTTACGGAAAAACTTTAGCAGATCGTCCCCCAGACACTCTCATTGAAAAACATAAAAGACCTCTATAGACGTCTTTGGCAGCCAATGAGTTAAAAGGTGTTAGCATTAAGGGGGAGGGAGTTTAGTAACGACACACAGATGCATAAGAAACAAGAGAAGTTAAAAGAAAAAAAAATGTACAGTACAAGCCAGTTTAGTGCTCACATTCTTGATTGTCTTTGAGCCATTTTTTCAATCTTGTGGAGAAAAGTGGAACATCGGTCTGTGATTAAGTTCCAGAGGCAAAGAGTTCCAGAGATGTGATGCTTTCACTGACCCGTAGATGTCCGACATCTTTTAATCCTGCAGTTCCCACTAGCTCCAGCTCTTGTTCTGATTCCTTCATTTGCATACTTTAAAACAAATCTAAAGATTACTTCAGGGGCAAGACCATTAAGGCATTTAAAAATAGCTTTTAAAAATGAGAAATTTAAAAATTTTCAAATGTCATCATGTTGTATTTTTTAATAATTTTGCAGTGATGCCACTTCACCAGTTTCTGATCGAATAGTTTTTTAATTTTTTTAAATTTATTTATTATGGAAGAAAAACATAATAGTAATTTACAAACAGTATAGAATCTGTTCCATGTTTTTTTTAAATTTTTTTTTTACATATAGTACCCAATATCTCTTTTTTGTAGTGGTCAAAGAAATAACTCATACACACAAAAACACACATGGAAAAAAAAATGATCGAATATTTTTAGTGATTGTTTGTGAAGTGAGAGTAAAGGTTTTAAAACAGACTTTGTGTAAAGATTTCCAGAGATGTGATGCTTTCACTGACCCGTAGATGTCCGACATCTTTAAATCCTGCAGTTCCCACTAGCTCCAGCTCTTGTCCTGATTCCTTCATTTGCATACTTTGAAAACAAATTTACAGATTACTTCAGGGGCAAGACCATTAAGGCATTTAAAAATAGCT